GGAGCTCTCCCCGGCTCTCACCTCGGCCGCGCTCTCGGGCCTGCGGGGTCCCCGAACCCGAGACGCCCCCTGGTCCCGGCTCGGTGTGCCGCCTCTGCCAGGTCGCCGCAAGGTCCCCCCAAACGGGACTGAGAAAATTAAGTGCTCAAACTTCGTCTTGTCCTCGGGACTTAAATCCAGCGTTGTTTTTCCCTCGTGGGTTTGTTGTGTCAAGTACCTTTTTCCTTCAAACTTGATCAGGAGTTGTGACACAGCGCCTACCCAGCACAGAGCTTGGCACACAGTAGGCGCTAGTAAATATTTTTTGAAAGCGTGAGTCACTACACTAAATTTGGAAAATTCTACGGAGTTGTGCGTCGCTATAATTTTTAAGATCACTTTGAAAATTACAGTCATTTTAAAGCTCAACAAAGAGAGTTAAATCGAGTTTTTTGCATTCCCTGTAACAATGGCCTCTTCTGGATGCTGAAATTAACTCGAAACCCGAGTTCTATAAATAGGTGCGCCCTCTGATTTTCACAGAAACTGTTAACCTTTCAGATTAAAACCTTCGGACGAACCATTCTATTATGGAACAAATTTAAATTATTTATAAAGCTTTATCCTAATTAGCTTTTCAGATACAAGTGCAAGGGACCACACTGATGTACCTGTGAATACATTTAGAAATATGGGCCTCAAGTATGATTTTTAAAAAAGAATTTGTATTCATACCTAGTGAATGAGTATGCAGGAGAAAATTATGACAGCAAATCTATCCCCCTCTCCCGCTCTTACCAGGTGCAGCTGCTGCCTTGACCTCAAAATGTCTTGTAAAATTATCCTCTTAATGGCCTGGCATATCTAAAGCAAACATCTCTGGGATTAAACCGCCCCATGGGGACAACCCCTTTAGTACTGACGGTTGTTACAGTATTCGTTTCTTCCGAGTTTTTCTGAAAAATAGATAATCTAATGGAGTTTAAAGTTGTTTTGTTGTTTAAGAACGAACTTGCTGATATTAAGTGGAAAAAGCAGGAAACAAAATCCTGATAACCAGAAAATTCCGTTAATCACGTCATCCCTAATCTTTCTGCTTGTGGGAAGGTAAGCTACAAGTGGTCAGAGCCGTGTCTGCCCTGATCACCAGTGAGTGTCCCCAGAGCCCAGCACAGTGCCTGCCCAGTGAGAGCCGTTCATTAAGTACTTGTGGCATGGATACTTGGCTGTTTCAGATAACAGTGTAATGACTTTCTACATGTGTCTGGTTGCTTCATTTACTTGGATATTTCCTTAGAATAGATGATTGAAGTGAGAATTTTACTGTGTCAAAAGGTAGGACATTTTCGTGGTTATCAAAACATCGCCAACTTGCTTTCCAAATGAGCCTTACCGTTTTGCACTGCCACCTTTATTTAAGTTTTTATTAACTTTTGCACTGCCACATTATATTTAAGTACCTTTCAGAGCATCCCCTCAAGCTATTGTTTTGATACATTGTTTGGCAGTTATGAGTACTTTCAGATGAAGTAACTCATTTGATCTCAGTCATCCTGGAAGACTGCCTTCCCCGTTTTGTAACACAGCAAACTCCAGTGCCTTTAATTGATGATAATGAATAGCAGGTGACAAAATAATCATACCCTTTCAGGTTCTTCCTCCTCCTGATTCTACCTTGGTTTGTAATGAACATCCTGAATAAATTCACGTCTTTCCTTAACAATGAAATTGGATACTGCTCTATAATATCTATGGTTTACAAACTCTTCCTTTGCTTTCTCATTTTGCTTGGTTATTTGCAGATGCCTTGATCAAACTTGGGGACTTAGTTAAAATGAAATAATGAAGCACAATTTAGATGAAAGAGATGATATTGGTTAGGTGTAAGAGAACACCCAAGCACTAGCAAGATTAGAACGTTGCCACCGTTTTATTAGGAAAGATCTGGAAACTTTTGGTGGTGCTTTTGTACCTCCTTGAATCTGAAGGAGTTACTGTTTTAAATCTCTGAATCTGTTGCAGAGTCTTCATAAACTATTGAGAATAATACTCTATTAGTGAGAGTGGACAGGAATTATTTGCATAATAATCTGCATATCTTTCATATCTGTCAATAAATTCAAAGAGGAATAGAATTGAGAACTAAAAATCATAAGGTAAAAAATTTCAACCTGCAGAAAATGTTATTTTCACATGAAAACTGAAAAAAAGTTTCTTTTTTTTAAAACATATGGCAACAAGAAAATGTTATTAATTTCTAGTCTGTTACTAATCCTGATTCTTTCCCAAATTTGCTGGTCAGGGACCCCAAATGCTTTAATAGGTAATTAGTCAGATCAAGAAGCTTTGGAAGGTTCAAAGTTTACTTACCATCGGAAATTCTTGGAATATATTTGTAGGTGGCACCATTTATATCAAAAGTGGGTCTGGGGCTGGCCCCATGGCTTAGTGATTAGGTGCACACGCTCCGCTACTGGTGGCCCGGCTTCAGATCCCGGGCGCGTACCAAGGCACCACTTCTCCGGCTGTGCTGAGGCCGAATCCCATATATAGCAACTAGAAGGATGTGCAGCTACGACATACAACTATCTACTGGGGTTTTGGGGGAAAAAAGAGGAGGAAGACTGGCAATAGATGTTAGCTCAGAGCCAGTCTTCCTCAGCAAAAAGAGGAGGATTGGCATGG